CTGCGGCTGCTTTTCCTGCCTCGGTCGCTGTCATGCGCCCGGCGCCGTGCTGGGATCGCCGCCTCCCCCAGCTGCTCCCGGCTCCTCCGGGTGATGTTGGCCGAAGGGCAGCGGGATCCTCTCTCCCAGCACGTGGGGTCTCAGGAGGGATGTGCTGGGGGGCCGTTTGCCCCGGCCCTGGTTGAGCTGGAGGGAAGGAGGGAGGGCGGTTCTGTCCTTGTGCTCCTTTAAGCTGAGGGTTCCCCCCAGCTCCAGGAACACAGGCCAAAACACTCATGTTGGCGTTTTGCCCTCTCTGAGTGCTCTGCCCTGCCAGCGATCGCAAAACAGTCGATGCAGGGAGGTTTGTTGGGACGTCTTGAGTCTCCTGGGCACCCTGGCCCTTCTCGGCAGCAGCCAGTGAGCTTTGAGCAGACGTCTGACTCCAGTGCTGTGTCCTACCCGTCACCGCGGGCTTTCTGCTCTCTCTTCAGTGCCAAGTCCCGTCTTATCTCCCGCCCTGGGCTCACGGTGCTCCCGTTGGGGCCTCTCCTTGCTTTGCTGCCTCTGGGGATCACTTAGCGCCCAGCAGAGCTCAGCCAGGGAATGGCAACGGGCTGTTGCTCTCCCCATGCAGTCCCTCAGCTCCTTGTTCCCGGCCTGAGGCTCCTCGGAGCCTCGTGGGGCTCCCCAGGTCTCGGGCTCGCTCACGGCCGGGCTGCTTTTCCCTTCCAGCGAGTTGCCCAACTACGGCACCATCATTCCCGTGCTGCTGGAGCACGGGCTGGAGAGCCTGCCCCTGCATTGCAAGATCACCCCAGGTACCAAGGAGGACAACAGGGGACACGCGTGGCCTCGTCAGGTCCTGATCCCCTCGCCTCCCCCGCAGGGATCCCGCTGAAGCCCATGCTGGCTCAGCCCACCAAAGGCGTCGGGGAGCTCCTGAAGCGCTTCGAGGAGGCCGCCTTCACCTGCGAGTACAAGTACGACGGCGAGCGAGCTCAGGTAGGGTTTGCGGGGGGCTCCCTGGGGCGCCCGGGTGCTGCCCGGCCTCCTTGCAACGCCCTCCCTCCATCCAGATCCACATCCTGGAGGACGGCGCCGTGTACGTCTACAGCCGCAACCAGGAGAACAACACCTCCAAGTACCCCGACATCGTCACCCGCATCCCCAAGGCAAGGAGCGTCTGCAGGGAGGGAGCTCGGGGGTAGCCTTGGGGCTGTGCTCAAGCCATGTCAGTCTCCCTGGTGCGTGGGGTGCCCTGTGAGGGTGTAGGACGCGAGGTGTCCCAGCGCTGTGCACGTCCCCTTCCTTGGCCAGCGCTGACCTCCGCTCTCCCTTGGGGCAGGTCCAGAAGGCCAGTGTGCGCTCGTGCATCCTGGACGCAGAGGCTGTCGCCTGGGACCCGGAGAAGAAGCAAATCCAGCCCTTCCAGGTGCTGATGACACGGAAGAGGAAGGTAAAGCCGGCGGAGGGGAGGGAGAAGGGCCCTCTCCGCCGCTCGCTGGTGCAAGGCAGCGGTGGCCTGGGCCGGGGACGGGCAGGATCCATCCCTAGCTCGAGCTGGGCAATAACCTCGTTGGTCTCTGCGACCTCAGGACGTGGAGGCTGCCGAGATCAAAGTGCAAGTGTGCCTGTATGCCTTTGACATGCTGTACCTCAACGGCGAGGTGAGCGCCTGCCCCTGCCCGGGCCCCCGTCCCGCCGGGCTCCCTTGGCCCTTGCTCTGCCCTGTGCACCGCGGCCTCCTGGGGGTGACACTGGCCCTCGTCCCGTAGTCGCTGGTGAAGGAGCCCTTCTCCAAGCGCCGGCGGCTGCTGCGCGAGTCCTTCGTGGAGACGGAGGGCGAGTTCCTCTTCGCCACCTCCATGGACGCCTGCAGCACTGAGGAAATCTCCGAATTCCTGGACCAGTCCATCAAGGGTGAGGTGGCTCCGCTGGGATGCCGGGGATGGAGCAGCAGGGCCATGGCAGAGGGTGTCTCCATGTCTGAGCTGGGCGTCACGTCACCCTCCTAGCCCGTTTCCCAACCCCATGGCTTGGATAAATGTGGGCTCTCCCCAGACTCCTGCGAGGGCCTCATGGTGAAGACGCTGGACGTGGACGCTACCTATGAAATTGCGAAGCGGTCGCACAAGTGGCTGAAGGTAAAAGCCCTGATGGAGGGCCCAGAGTGACGTGAGCGCCCCTGCCTCCCTCCTGGCCCTGCCTCCCGCGCTGCCTTTCTCTCCAGCTGAAGAAGGATTACCTGGAAGGGGTGGGCGACACGCTCGACTTGGTGGTCATCGGCGCCTACCTGGGCAAGGGCAAGCGCGTGGGCATGTACGGGGGCTTCCTGCTGGCCTGCTACGACGAGGAGAGCGAGGAGTACCAGAGCATCTGCAAGGTGGGCCGGTGGGGGGGGGCGCACGCGCCCCCGCCCCCCCTCCTGCCTCTCTCCTCGCGCAGATCGGGACCGGCTTCACCGAGGAGAGCCTGGAGAAGCACCACAGCTTCCTCAAGGTACCTCGCTGGCTTCCCGGAGCTGCACGGGGGAGCTGAGTGGAGCCAGGTCTCTGCCCTCCTTCCCTCTGCTCCCCCAGGACCACGTCCTGCCCCAGCCGCGGCCCTACTACCGCTGGGACAGCGGGGCGGCCCCCGACCACTGGCTGGCGGCCGTGCAGGTCTGGGAGGTGAAATGTGGCGACCTCTCCATCTCCCCCATCTACAAGGCAGCCGTGGGCCTGGTGAGTGGGTGTACAAGGAGAGGGGGGGGACATCCTTTGGGTCGCCCTTGGTGGCATCTCAGCCCTTCCCGCTGTCCTTCCCTCCAGGTGGATGAGGACAAAGGCATCTCCCTGCGCTTCCCCCGCTTCCTGCGCGTGCGGGAGGACAAGAAGCCCGAAGAGGCCACCAGCAGTTCCCAGGTGCCACTTTGCAGGGATGAGAAGGGCATGGGACACAGTGCTCCGTGTGGGCTGACAGGGGAGGCCGTGGCCTCCTCTCTGGGCTCTTTGCAGGTGGCCGAGCTCTACAAGAAGCAGCAGCAGATCCAGAACCAGCAGCTTCCCGAGAAAGGGGAGGACGAGGACTTCTACTGACCGCGGCTGGCGTGGGGACACCCGGCCTGGGGTACGTGCGGGGCTCTGGCACAGGGACTTTGGGAATCAACCGTCACCTCCCGCTGCTGTGCAGACCTCAAGGCCTGACCCTGCTCCTTCCCGAGGCATCTGCAGGCAGTTTTGGGGAGCCTGGGACCAGGTCTCACTCCCTTTCTGGGCTCCTCCGTGACAAGGACCCCAGGCTGTTACCCTGCTCCCTCCCTGGGCCCTACACCCATGGGACAGGATCCTTGTGGCCTCCCCTTGCTCCATTGCATGTGGTTTCACTGCAGGACAAGAGGCCCAGGGCTTGTCCCCGGGGTCCCCACATGCTGTACCCCTTCCCCAATAAACACTGCCGCTCTGTATCCAGCCTGGCCATCACGGTCAGCACCGTTTATTGCCCCTTTTTCATACTACTCCATGCTACGGCTCTGCCCCGCTCTGTGCCCACCCCTAGCTGGCCCGGAGCCGCTGGCTCCGCGCTTTGTAGACCTCGATGAGGAGGTCCTTGACGTACTGGATCTCGCGCTCGATGGAGTCGGCCTTCTCGCGGAGCTCCCGGTTTCGGGCCTCCAGGCTCTGGCACTGGTCGCCC